TTTTTGTGTGAGTGTACCGTCAAATCAGATCTGACTGGTACAGGAGGAGATTGTCCCTCCTTCCCTGGCAGAGCATCTGGTGGATTCAAACCGTGCGCCTCTGGGATTGTAGCTGCAGCTCCTTACCACTAGGCCACCAGAGCTCCCCAACCTTTTTGATGCAATGAACTTTTTACAACGTCTGGGCAAGCCCTCTGATGAACTACTGGTAAGGAATGGCACCGCCAACCCAAAGGGTCATGGTTCAAATCCATCTGCTGCTGCTGCATGGGAGAAAGATGAACACTCTCCTTCCGTGAGAGGAACTGCCTCTGAAAAACCCACTGGAGGGCCAGGTCCGAGTCCGTTCTGACCGATGGTACACACACACAACAGGCAAACCCTTGTTGTATAGTGCTTCCCCTTCACCTGCCTTCTCTGCCTTTTTTTTCCATAGTGCTGGAGAAGAGTATTGAATATACCATGGACTACTAAGAAAACAAACAGATATGTCCTGGAAAGGGTGAAGTCGGGCTGCTTCTTGGAGGCAAGGATTCTGAAGCTCCATCTGACATACTTTGGACATGTTGCAAGGAGGGACCAGTCCTTGGAGAGAGACATCATGCTTGGGAGGGTGGAGGGACAGTGCAGGAGGGGAAGACCCTAGATAAGATGGATTGATTCAGTGACTGGTGTAATTGGGTGGGTGTGTCAGAGATGGTGTGATTGGCACAGGACAGAGCAGGGTTTAGGGCTGTTGTACATAGGGTCGCTATGAGTCGCAGGCGAGTTGACGGCACATAACAACTATAAGTAGAGGAGATTTCTCGTCTTTCTCCCTCAGAGCTGCTGGGGAATCTAAAGTGCCAATCTTCTTCTTAGCAGCACAACATGTTGTGGACTGCGCCTCATAGAGCAATGTCAGGGAGCTCTGGCAGCCTAGTGGTAAGAAGCTGCGCTGCAGTCCTGAAGGCCGTGGTTCGAATCCACCAGCAACCTCCTCCAGTGCAATGAACTACCTCTGAAAACCCGCTGCAGGGTCAGCTATGAGTCGGTTCCAACTCAAAAGTCCACAACAACAATAGATAAATGCATTTCTCTAGAAAGATGGTTCCTTCTGTTATTTATTGTAGGAAAAGGCCTGAAACTGTAAATAGTCACCAAGAGATTGAACGCAGGGATGATGACACAGCCAAAACTAATAAAGCACCGGGGAACTTTGTTTTAGTAAGTGAAGACAGTGTATGCATATTGATACGGAATGAACTCTAAGAAGTGATTGGGAAGAAGGGAGAGGAAGGGCAGCTGCAGAACGGCCTTGCTCACTCCCATGACATCGATTTGGAAACAACTTCTGGCTGAGCCTTCGCTGGGCTTCCGGCCTCTCACTCACGTGGGAGGAAACTGTCTCTCTCTCTCGGATCGCCTGGCAGATCTGAGCCACCAGTGGGATGTGTGACCTCTGGGCAGCAGCACAGCAACCTCCAGACTTGGCCACCAGAGTTGGTCTCCTCTCTAAAAGGAGACTAGAGTTCACTACTTTTTGAGAGAAGGAGAGAGATTAACTGTACCATACAAGAACTCTCCTGATGCAGGTTTCAAAACAAAACAAAACACAAAAGAACAACCAACCCTGTCAAGAAAAAGAAAATCATGAGATAAAATGGGGCCTAAGTGTCAGGGATCTGAAGGAAATTAGTTTTTCCCTGTTTATTTTTCTTTTCATTTTGTTTTAAAGTTACTAATATATAATGATGTTGTTGTGTACCATCGAGTCAAAACCAAACCGTATCTGACCTTCAAGTGGGTTTTCAGAGGCAGTTAATTGCACAGGAAGAGCCTGCCCATCCTTCTCCTGTGAAGCAGCTGGTGGATTTGAACCATGTGTCTTCAGGATTGCAGTGCAACCTTCTTACCACTAAGCCACCATAGCTCCAATGTACATATACTCAATAATCATATAAAACATGATGTATAGAAATGATCACATAAAAATATACATGAATGAAACAGTGCACACGAGTGATTGTATAAAACTCAGTGTAGATGAAGGAAACATAATGTATATGAATGGTTGTGTGCAAAGCAATTTTCAAAAGACACTTTAGGAAAGGGGGGGGGGGAACCCAACCTAGGAAACTTAGAATTAAGAGGAAACTCCCTTATCGAGGTCAGCATTTTATATCTGAAACTTACAACAAATACATGTCAGGAGAAACCCCATTAAAGTCAGAAATTAGAAGTGCACCGTGTGTGATAATGTGAAAAGTGTGCCTGAGGTCAGATCCAACACAAGACGACCAGGAAAAATAGGTCTAAGAAATGTAAGAATGTATGAAAATTATCACTTTTGTGAATAATGATGTAATAGCCAACATAGAAAGTCTAAGAAAATCATCTGTAAATATACTTCATTAAAAAGTTTATCAGGTGCACAATTATAAGATTTATATATAAAACTCAACAATTCATACATTAGTCCAAGCTAATCCAAAAATGTAACTAGAATAATTTTTTACAAAAACACTCAAAATGGCCACAAAACTCAACATATGCAAGAATGAACGTTTTTTAAATCCAATGAAAGATCTATGTGAACAAAATTATAAACAGTTACTGAAAAATATCAAATAAGGTTTTAATAAATGAGGAGACATCCATAACATAAAGTTATCTGTTCTCCCAGGAACTAATATCTAAATTTAAGATGATGCCTATTAAATTGCTAGCATTGATTTTAACTTGACTAGGGTCCCTATATGAGGTGGATTGATTCAGTGACTGGGATAATCGGGATGGGAGTGTCAGAGACAGTGCGACTGGCACAGGACAGAGCAGAGTTTAGGGCTGTTGTACATAGGGTCGCTAGGAGTCGTAAGCAACTCGACGGCACATAACAGCAACAACAACAGGGTATAGAACCATGGTGACATTGTTTAATTTATACAAAGAAAATAGAAAACAGCCACCAAATGAACACAGTGCGATAATGGGAGCAATGCCGAAGAAGAAAGCCAGAGGACCCACGTTTCCCTCCCTTTACCACAATCATTGGGTAGATTCAGACTCCGTGACTTTTATTCAGACACAATGAAATTGCCGCACGGCCTTTTTATGGAAGCAGATTGCCGGGTTTCTCTTGTGCAGTCATTGGATGGGGTCGACAGCCAGCCTGCATGTTGGTGGCTGAACGCAAAGCCTTGGCATTGCCAGGGCCGTCTCTTTTTCAGCTCTTCAGTGCCGTAAAAGAGTGTGAGTGCAGACACACACAACTCAGACACCTGAGAGGAGTGCATTCGGCCCAGTGTTTCTCAAAGGCAATTTGTTATTTATTTAAATAATAAATATAATTGGTTCCTTTCTTACGGTTTTCCATGCACATCCCCTTCAATCCAACATGAACAACGTAACTTTCAGGATCCACTCCAGGGGCACGTGTACACACTCACCACCATCAGAGGGGTTTACGAGGTATATTGTGTCCGACAGCAAAATCACAGCTTTGTTCACAATAGCAAGGAGTTGGAAACAACCTAAGTGCCCATCAACAAACGAATAGATAGAGAAGCCGTGGATATTCACACAATGGAATATTACGCTGCATTGAAAAACAAGGAACTCATGAAATAGTATGCAAAATGGGTGACCCTGGAGGACATTATGCTGAGTGAAATATCTCAGTCACAAAAGGACAAATACTGCCTAGTGCCACTGTTTTAAAATGGAACTGACATCGGGGTTGGCGGGAGACTGAGAAGATGGAATAAATGATGTATACTGCATTGAAACAGATGAGGGAGAGAACTGTTTAAAAGGGATATATGGTTAGGTATTATTATCATGACAGGAGTCCAGAACGAAGGCTACATAGTGGATGGACTTGGGGGGTGGGATTGTATAGCAATGAAAGACTTTTTCTTTTACTTTTCAAAGAGAAGAGTGAACTGTGGGGGAGGGGTGGGCAGGGAGAAAAGTGCAACAATGAATGAATGAAAAGCCAAAGTCTCTATAAACTTTCATTAAAATTCCTAAAAAAAAATTGAGAATCAATTCAGATGTCCATAAGAACATGTTGTTGTTGTTGTTAGGTGTCATCAAGCCAACTATGACTCGTCGTGACCCTGTGAACAACAGATCTGACCCTGCCCCGTCCTGTGCCGTCCTCAGTAAGAGCCGTTCGTAAAAACAAGGTGCTCGGGGAGCTCTGGTGGCCTAGTGGCAAGAAGCTGCAACTACAATCCCAGAGGCACATGGTTCAAACCCACCAGATGCTCTGCCGGGGAAGGAGGGGCAATCTCCTCCTGTACCAGTCAGATCTGATTTGGCAGGAGACACACACAAAAATAATAAAATCTTAAAAAAACCACCACAAGGTGCCTCGTGCAAGAGAATGCAGTGCAGCAGCATAAATACTGATCATCTCCACCACCGTCTATTCACATTGACATTCTAAAACTCTTTTAGTTAACTATAAAAAGAAAGTTGTAGGATTTATGCCCTGTGTGTCATAGTGTATGTTTAAAATGTTTTGTATTTATGCACATATGTATAATTATATAAATGAACATAGATTAAAAAACAGTAAGAATCTGATATCAAGGGATTTTATTCCTCCTCTGCATTGTTTAACAGGTTAAAATGAAAAATGTAACCATAAATTATTGATGCAATTTAAAAATTCCCCTGAAATTCAAAGTGGTGGTTTCCATTTATTTATACACATACATAACTTCACTTAGCTTTATTTTATAAAGAATTGAATATCTGTCAACTTTAATACAAATTGTAAAAATATGTTTAAAAATAGAGATTGCATAATCCATTGCCTTTCTAGCATCCTGATAGAATGACTTTACCTTCTGGTTGCCATTGCAACAAAATTTCACCTGAGTCTTACAGTATCTACAATCTCTAATCTTGAATTCTAAAACAAATTTTATGGTAAACACCATGCTGGAGCAGAAGTTACTGATTTAGAGTTTTTGGTGAAATTAAAATCTCAACAATAACTGCCAGAAAAGTCAGACATCCAGTGGAGAAGCTCTATTTTTGTCAATCTCAAATCTTACTTTTGGTTTCTTTTTTGAAAAGTCTGTACATTTTCTCTCAGGAATAAATTTAAAGGTGCTCCATATTTCACTATGATGTCTTGGGAAGCGCCTGAAATATGGAATCACCATGGCTTCCTTGTAGACATAAGATATTTGGTTGTTTGAAAATCCGTCATAACAAGATGGGACATAGTCACATGCCCAAAGATTGAAGTTTCTTGACATGTGTTGCCTTATTTCTTCAGAAAACTTCTTACGTCCCAGACCCTAGGGGAGATTTGTGAGATTAGGAGAAAAATATTCAAGATTATTCAGTTACGAGTATTTTGTGAAAACCAGCCACATTATGTTGCTGTTGTTATGTGCTATTGAGTCACCTGCGACTCATAGAGACCCTATGTCCAACAGCCCTAAACCCTGCTCTATCTTGTGCCAATCTGACCGTCTATGACACACCCACCCAATTACACCAGTGACTGAATCAATCCATCTCATCGAGGGTCTTCCTCTCCTGTGCTGTCCCTCTAACCTCCCAACCATGACATCCCTCTCCAAGATTTGTCCCTCCTTGCAACATGTTCAATGTATGTCGGACAAAGCTTCAGAATCCTTGCCTCCAAGGAGCAGCCTGGTTTAACCCTCTCCAGAATGAACCTGTTTGTTCTCCTAGCAGTCCATGGTATATTCACTACTCTTCTCCAGCACCACAGCTCAAAGGCATCAATTCTCCTTCTGTTATCCCTAGTCATTATCCAGCTCTCTTATGCTTAGCAAGTGATTGCAAAGACTATGGCCTGTATCAGGTGCACCTTAGTCTTCAGAGTGACACCATTGCTCTTCACAAATATAATAGTAAAATTACGTTCACATATTTCTTTCTTCTGTTCTTAATATGGCTGGTGTAAAATTTCAAATTGCATGCAGGATTTATATTGCATTTCTATCCCTTAGTCTTGTATTGGCTGGACTAGCAAGCACTCTCAGACTCTGCTTGCTCTTCAAGGACAGGGGACTCATCCTCTGCAGAGGAAAGACAGCTGAAGTGCACAGGAAAACCTTCCTTTTAATAAGGAGCTCTAATGGCATGGTGTGTTAAGTGTTGGGCTGCTAACCAAAAGGTCATCAATTCGAACCCACCAGCCAATCCAAGGGACAATGAACAGTATCCTCCCTCAAGGATGTACCATCTACCCAAGGGAGGGTTGCGGTGGCTCAGAACTGACTCGACAGCATGGTGTGGATCTGGTTCCTGTTGGTGGGCAAGCTCCCTCTGTGGAACTGTTGGCTGTCCAGACACACATTGCCCTCTTCCCGTGAGGGACCGTCACACACACGGAGCATTTCCAGGCAGAAAGACCTGAGACCCAGCACTGGTGCCGACCTTAAGCTTCCCAGAACTCGAGCACCTCGCGTGTTTTTCTCTCATCGGTCACAAGGTCTGTTTATGACCTTGTTTCCACACTGACTTTGCTCCCGTTTGGAGTGTAGAGGTCCTTTGCTCTCTGTGACCCTCAGGAACTCAGGAGCTCTGCCACTGCTCCCCCACTTCCTACTCACAGAGTCAAAGTAGTGTCCACAGTGCCTAAAGCTGTGTCGGTTGTCATGGGCGGAGAAGGGGAAGTTGTTGTTCACTGCTTGCTGGAAGAGATCGAGGGGAGGGAGAGAAAGTCTCATCAGAACCCCGACTGGCCAGGTGGGCTGGGAGGCACATGGCCTCTGGGTAGGCACACAAACCAAGCACTGAGAGGAGGAAACTGCACAGGACAGTGCATCACAGGTGTGCGGGCAGCCCAGAGTGCTGAAACTCAGCCTTGGTGCTGACTTTCCTGACTCAAAACAAGCCTCTCCAAGCACCTCATCTGAGCAAGGCAAGAACGCAGCTTCTGAGGGCTCCCAAACCGCAGAGGACTCAGAGCTCCTCACTCAGCACATCTGCATCCTGGGAAGCTGACTCCTGGGAGAGCAGACCCCTTGGGAAACAGACTCTTGGGGGCAGGATCCTGATGGAGCAGGTGGAGCGCGCATCTCCGAGAACAGTGAGCTGGAGACAAGGTCTTTAGGCACCGATAGGACTGGCTGGCTGATGGGGAGGATCCCCTTGTGGAGAGTGTGAGCAAGTGGGGTCGTGCCAGGTGTGAGGTGGGTCCAGGGCAGCACAGGCACAATGCTCACAAGGGAGACCTCTCCGACCAGGAAAGCAGTGATGCTGAATGTCACCTGTCAACAGGGCAGGCTGGGACCCAGGGACCAGTGTTCCAACAGGTGCCTAGATGTGAAGGTATTTTACAGGTGTGGTTATCATTGATAGAGACGTGAAGGAGGTTAGTCTTGGCAATGCAGGGATGGGGAAGAGTCCTTAGCGGAGCAAAAACTGATGTTTCCTGGAGAGGGAGGAATTCTCCTTCAGGAAGACAGCATCAACTCTGCCGAGCTCCCAGCCTTCTGCCCTACAGACTCCTGATCTGCCAGTCCCCACAATCACACCAGCCAACTCCTTAAATAAATGTGTGGTGTGTGCGTGTATGTGTGTGCGTGTGCGTGCACCCCATCCATCTGTCACTGTGGTGCACTGTGGCAGCATGTGTGTTCATGTGATCCAGGAAGCTATGCCACTAATATTTCAAATACTAGGAAGGTCACCCCTGGTGGGCAGATTTCAGTGGAACTTCCATACTGAGACAAACAAGGTGGAAAGGCCTAGTGATCAACTCGGGAATGTTATCCAATGAAAACTCGAGGGATCACCACAGGACACTGTTGGATGTGGGCCTGGAAGACGAGCCTCTGAAGTTGGAAGGCACTGGCCAGTGACCACAGTGATAGATGCAAACACGCAATGACCACGTAGATGGCACAGGAGCAGGGGACGTTTATCTCTGTCCCAGGAGGTTGCATGTGGTAGAGCTTGGTAGATGGTAATTAGCAATGTGTGCGTGTGTGTGTGTGTGTGTGTGTGTGAGAGAGAGAGAGAGAGAGAGAGAGAGAGAGAGAGAGAGAGAGAGAGTATGAGGAAGAGAGAAAGGGTGTGAGTGGGTGGAGAAAGAACGAGGGGTGTACATTCTATAGTTTGCTTTCTGGGGAAGCCTGGCTGACACCAATGCCAGGGTCCCACCCCTCTGAGGGAACTTGGGGTGCCCCACTGAGGGCAGCCCTCTACACCCACCTTCTCACGGACTTTGTATATGGGTGGCAGCTTCCTTTCCACCTGCCAGATCGCATGTGGGCCATGGGGCTCTTTCAGCGTAGCTCTTGTGATGGATTCTGGAGTCTTCTGTGTGAGTTCAATATGGGGGAACTGGAAGAAACAGCACAGCCTTGATCAGAACCAGGCAGCTTGGAGTCTCCAGGGTGGGGATCGACGTTTCTTCTGCAAAGCGGTTAAGATGCAGTGTTGTGCTGCTGGTATCCATCGTAAATGGCATATTTTGTAATTTTAAAGTACTCTTCCTGAGACAGCGCCATGGTCCAGAGCCACCCCTCTGGGCAGGTGGGGGCCCCAGCCAGAGACAGTAGAGATGGAAGCGAGCTGACCAGGGTCCATTGTCCTTATACTTGGGACCAGGGGCTCAGCGTCACTCAGCAAAGTGGCCCCAGCTATCACAGTCCAGGTTTGAGGTAGCCCAATAATGGGGGCCCAGAAAAGGGGGCCGTCCCCCTCAGCTCCACTGGGGACACAGTGTTGGGAGAGCAGGCAGACGATTACAAAGCAAAAGTGAGGAAAATGAAGATTCTGTGAGCATATCCTCAGCATCAAAAACCTATGGAAGGTGGGACACAGATGGGTAATGAGAGGCATTGGGCTGAGATGTCATCTCAGATGTCACAGACCTTTGTGGCCCAGGCTCTCGAAGCTGTCCTGAGCAGGTGCAGTGACATGAGGGGGCTTTGTGTCCTCTGGTGGCTGAGACATTGGGGGGGGCTGATCTTGAGCGAGGCACTCTCCTCATCCCCGCGTCCCTAAAGGTGGACAGTGAGGGCCACTCTCCTGGGGCCCTTCTCCTGAGGAGCCAGAAGGGGTCACTTCACAGTCAATGGCGTTCACTCTCATTTTGTTTGAATGTTGTCCATTGAAAGTCAGTCCAACAGGTCTTTCCAAGGGTGTCGAGGAGAGGCGAGCAGGTGGGAATGGGGACAGCACAAAAGCCAAGGCTCTGGCGCCACAAAAATCTCCTGCCGGAAGAAAGCACGACGTGAGGGGTGGACCCCAGGCTGTGAACACAGGCTCTGATGCAGCCCCAGCTCACTCTCCGAGCAGCCAACCTGATGCTGGAAACTCAGTCCTCCCTTTCATCACTGTCTGTACCTGTGAAATGTGAACGGCAATACCTTCTAGACAGGGTGTTGATTCAACGCCTGATGAACTCACGGGCGTCAGAATAGAACTGTGCTCTGGAGAGTTTCCAGAAACTTGTCAGAAGCAGATCTCATGCTTTCTTCCAAGGCCCCTCTGAGTGGACTTGAACCATCAGACTCAGTTAGCAGAGAGCATTGACTACACCACCCAGGGGCCTTTGATAGGATGGATTTAACGCAAAGAGACACCTGCAAGCACTTGGAAAATTCCCAACAACTTTGATTAGGTTCTCTTTTTTGCTGGAAGCTGCCTCCTGTCACTGAACCCTTAACTGTTGCCCTGACTGCGTGCCTTCTTTGACTTTTGGATTATAACAACATTGGCCAACACTGGACTGTTCCCTCTACAGCCTCTGAAGCCACACCGCAACTTGGGACTGACATGTGTTTGTTTAGCATTTGTGCACAGCCTGCCTGTGGTGCATTTCACATTTCTGTAAAAGGTGGGACTCGCACTTGGTTTGTGGTTCTGTGCAGCTGTGAGAAACAGCATAGCAACGGATGGAGCTTCCAAGAGGAGGTGGAGAGTAGGCAATAAGAAGACATAGAACAAGATCTGAAGCCCTGAGCAGTCTGTGTAAATAAAAATCCACACACACAAAACAAGATATCATTTCCATGAACACGTCCAAAGACAAGAATGCTCCCAGCCGTATTTGAATGGATGTCCATGGAGGGAGGAGGTTGGTGATGGGGACTGGGAATTCTGGAGGGTGAGGAAAAGACCACACACACCTCCCTCCTTCTATGTGTGTGCTTCCTGTGGGCGGTTATGCAGGAAATTGGTAACAGGAGCGCCTGAAGGAACCAGAACTTTCTTCCAGTCTACCCTTCTGCACCATTTAACTGTTTCTTAACTAGGTACATGTATTACATGCTGCTGGCTTGGTATTTCTTCCACCACAACAAAAATGATTGCGCTTTGGCTCTGATTAGAGTCGTAATCCATGCTCATGATTTAAAATAATTCCAACAACATAGGGAAGCACAAGAAAGAAGTCAAGTTTGCCTGAAACCCTATCCCTCTTCCCCATTAATTCTTTGTTGACCACCCTTTTCCTACTCCGTGACGCTAGCACCCGCACACACCAATACTTCTCCACACAGCGGGGAGTTGGCTGCTTGGCAAAAACTGCATCACGCTAAGTATGCACTACTTTTCATCTTGCTTTTCCCATTTAAGGAGCCCTGATGAGGAGTTTGAATCTCCAACTCACTCCAGGAGAGAAACAAGGATCTAGGGGGTGTGGAAACCCAATGGACGGTTGTTACTGAGTTGCTATTTGTTTGAGGGTGTGTGTGTGTGTGTTGTTGTTGTTGTTGTTGTGTGCCAGTGAGTTGGAAGCAACCCATAACTGATTCTCCAGTGGGTTTTCAGAGGCAGTAAATCGCACGAGAGATGATTGCCCATCCTTCTCCTACGTAACAGCTGATGGATTTGAACCACATACTTTTGAAATTGCAGTGCAGCTTCTTACCACTAGACCACGATAGATACATAGATACACAGATACATAGATACATAGATAGATAGACAGACAGATAGACAGATACATAGATGATAGATAGATAGATAGATAGATAGATAGATAGATAGATAGATAGATAGATAGACAGACCGGCCAACCTTGGACAGTCTCCAAAACTAACTTCTTTCTATTCATCCTGTATTACAAACCCCCCAAAATATATTTTTTCTTTTTTAGCCATTACCTCTTGGAGGTAACTAAAAGGAACACGAAGGACCAATCACTCGCCCCTCTTCCCCGCTGCTGTGCGGTGGGCTGGGCACTCTCTGGGCAGCTGTTGGCAGTTGGGCAGGGGCAGGCAGCTTCCCTGACTTCTGGAATGTTCTCCTACCACCTTGGTGACTGCTGACTGGTGTTCATTTGTATTCTGCAAGTCTACACACTGAACTGCCATAAAAAATGGCGTTAGCATTTTAATTTCACTCTTTAAAAATATATATTTAATGGCTATAACAAGATAGCTGTGAAATAAACCCTTCTGTTAGATATTGTAACCGTGAAATATAGCTTTTTAACTGGTTGGCGGTGAAATTTTCGTGGAGTTCCATCACTGGATGACTGAAATATTAAACAAGAAGGTGGAAAAGCGTGCAGAAACCCTTCCCAATCTGGCCACAAATAGAAGACAAACAGCAAAGCTGCCTGCTCGATGGCGTCCCCTCTAATGTGGCCATCACGGCCCTCCCAGATGGACTGCTACGGGCACAAAGCCAGCAGCTTCTCTAATTTTCCCAATTCATTGACAAGTTACTCTGGGAAAGTTCGCCATTAGCACTAGTATTTTTTATGTTCTTCTGTGCTGCCAGCAGAAACCAGGGCAAAGGCTAGATCAACCTTGGGCACTGGCCTCTCCTGAACCACCACTGTCATGGATTAATTTGTGCCCCCCCCTCCAACCCCATGCATGTAATATAACGTGGAGATTACATAATGAGGTAAACCATAATGTGGCAAACGCGACAGTCCTTAATCCTACCGGAGATCTGATCTTGTAAGGGACGTTTCCCCAAGGACGCCTGTAACACCTTTCAGCTGACTTCAGATACAAAGGAAATCCAGACAGGGGAGGGACATCAGGTAGGAGACCTCACCAGTGCCACAAGTGGATGTGTCCTTCTGGAATCTGGTACCTGTACTCATCAGAGGCCAGACACATGGAGATCTCCAAGGAACGCTGGGCCTGTGGATGCTAAAAAAACCAAGGACCTTCCTCTGGAACAAGCGCAACAAATGCTTTCCCTAGAACCGGCATCCACATTAGACTCCTAGCCTCCTAAACTCTGAGAGAGTAACTTTTACTTGTTAGAGTTACATACCTGTGCTATTTCTGTTACAGCAACACTACTCAGACAGTCACCATGGTCAGAATTGACTTGATAGCAACTAGCTTTACTGATAAGACACCAAACAAGATATACACAAAGGTTTCTGGAAGATGGTAGAGCCCTAATAAAACTCCTACTGAGTTTTGTGGCAGCGTTAAAAGAGAGGGACTTGAGTTAAGAGCAGTGTCATGGGCTGAATTGTATCTCCCAACACACAGGTCAGGTTGGCTGGGCGGTGGCACTTGTGGAATGATGTAACTCCACAATTATGCAACAATATGCTCTGATGCGATCAGACCAGATTTGATGTTAAAAGGATTAAGATGAAATGGGGCACAATCTTTATCCAGCAACAGTCTTAATCTGACATCAAGGAAGTTTCCCAAAAGCATGCCCTGCATCACCTTTTACCTTAGATAACATCAAAGGAGAGCAAAGTGAGCAGTGAAGAAGGGCCCAAATATCACCTCAAAAGAAGAGGGAGGAGGGGTATGCATCCTTTGTACCACAGGTCCCTGTGCTGAGAACCTCCAAGACTCAGAGGAAGACTGATGACAAAGCCTTCACCCACAGCCAGCTGATACTCAGCCCTGAGGTCCTGCATGCCAGTTTCTATTCTGCTCAAAGCCTTTACCCAGAGCCAGCAGATACTCATCTCTGGGGCCCAGCATGCCAGCTTCTATCCTGCTAAACTGAGAGAAAATACATTTCTATTTGCAAAAGACAACCTCTGATGGAATCTGTTTCATCACCATAAGAGAATGAAGACAATGTGAAACTGGAAAGTTCTCAAGTGATGACTATAGTCACGGGTGCCTGAACTCTGCCAGTCTCTTGGGGTGAAGAAAGTCATATTGTGAGTCAGTGGTCATGTGTTTAGAGGTTCCTAATATATTAATTCATTCAACTCCTTCTCAGTGTCAGATTCATCAGCGAATAAAAAAGACAAAGACCCTGCTTTCATGGAGCTTATATTCTACCTGAGGATTCAAACAGGAAACATAAGTCAAAACTATGTGACAGGAAAGAAGGTGTGAGACAAGCAACACGGGCAGACCGTGGAAATGCTGCAGGTTCCGTTTCAGACGACTGTAATAAACTGATCACTTAGATTTAAAAAAGTCACACAATTATTTTGGCTTCTCAGTGCATAGGGAAGTTATGGTTGCATGGCCTTGTGAACAGTCTAGTGTGTAATAGCCATTATGAAAACATATGAAATATTCCGAAATTACCAAAATACAGCAGGGACACAAAGTGAGCATGTGCTGACGGGAAAACTTTAAAAACAGATTTGTTCCATAGAGAGCTGCCACCGACCTTCAATGTGTAAAAAGTTCAAGCTCTGTGAAGACAGTAAGACAACCATGCCCAGGTCTGCCCCGTGGGCACTTACAGAGAGCCAACGTACATGCCGAATGCTTTTGGATGGTTAACGTTATGAGGCAACATGGTCCTCAGTATTATGTCCCTCTCCCATGTGTGGTAAATTCCAGCTTCTGTGATGTTAGCAAAGCAGAATTAGACCTGGTTTTGTAAAGACCTGACCAGTCTGATCTAGTGAAGGGAAGCCTCCTCAGGGCTGTGGTGCACACGGAGTATGTTTGGACTCTCAGCTCTTTGCTGTACCGTACTATCTGGCTCAAGATTTGAACCCATGGCCTCCCACACTTGTCAACTTTAGGCTTATCACTCTCCAAAGCTATCTTCAACCTTAGTCTCCAACAACGAGTTTTGGGATTTTTTAATTCATTTTAATGAAAGTTTACAGAGGCTTAGGGTTTCCAGTCACTCATTGTTGCACTTTTGTCCCTGTCCACTCCTCCCCCCAATACACTCTTCTCCTTGAAAAGAAAAACTCTTTCATTGCTATGCAATCCCTCCCCCCCCCCAAGTCCACTGTACTGTGCAGCCTTCATTCTGGACTCCTGTCATGACAGTAATACCCAATCATATATCCCTTTTAAACAGTTCTCTCCCTCATCTGTTGCAATGTAGTATATACATCATTCCTCCCCTTCTTCTCTGTCTTCCCTCAACCCGTGTCAGTCTTGTTTTACAATAGTGGTCCTATGCAATATTTGTCCTTTTGTGCCTGAGATATTTCACTCAGCATAACAACAAGTTTTGAACAAGTCAGCATCTGAAGCCAGGAGCTTCCAAAGCCAGCAGCCTGAGACCCTGTCTGTCAGTTAATAATACAGACTCATTAATTTCCCCAGATGCCTCTCTCTTGAGATATGGCCTAGGATGTGCCATCCTCTGCAAGCACATGAGCCATTTCCTTGGAATAAATCAGTCTAGATAGAGAGACAAGTTTCATAGGTTTGGATGCTCTAGAGAGCCAAGCCTAAGACAGCTTTTTTTGTAATCATTACTTGCCCCTGTGAGATACCATTCTACCAATGAAGGAACTAAGTGGGGCAATTTGTTCCAGGTGACATTGGCATAAGTAGCAGAAGCAAGACTTAGACTCAGTCCTGTGTCCTCAACCATATCCATGCAGGAGGGCAAAGGTAGTGAAGAATCTAATCTTTCTTACCCATATTCCATCCTTGTCTAAAGGTGGCTTGAAGCATTGTCCTTTGGGCATCCTCTCCAGGAAGCTGGGTGTGGCTGATGCTGGCCTCCTGAGCTCTACACATCTAGATACCTCTTTTCCTCATTCCTGTGCTTGCATGTTCGTTCACCTTCTGCTTGAGAGAAGTCAGTAAGTGACCATTGTTGTCATAGAATCAGTGATCATTCATCACAATGTGTAGAAAATTCCAGTCATCTACGCTCTCTTAGGATTCTAGCCACTGATTTTCCACAGCTGCTGCTCCCCAGCGAATTGCCAGAGCCACCCAGTCACAGGTGAGGTCCTCAACAGCAGGTCAGTCAGAACAAGAGAATCTTGGGCTAGTGGACAACTTTTTGTACCTTCTAAATCCCTGAACCAATAATACTTGCACTGGACATCTCTATAGCAACCATCTGCTCCAGTCTCCTGGTTAACAGAGAATTAATTGAATTCTGGACCAAGAGAGGACTTTGTTCTTGCCAGGGTAACAGTGAATCCCAGGACCCACACCTTTGACCATAACACTTCAAGGGCTGACTGTGCACCACAAGAGCTCACTCGTGGGTCCTGCTTGCTTAAATGAAATATCACTGAGGCAACATCAAGAGACAGAGAGAGAAAACAAAGAAACAATCATGCGTAATTGGTACCTATCAGGCACTATACTAAGCTAAATACACTTATTAATGTGCGGTGAGACATGTAAGAGCCAAAACTCAACAGGACCATGTTGTTTTATCCAGATCTCACAAGTTCCCACCTTTTATAGAGTACACTCTTATCACTTTTCTCTCATTCATTTTAGTGACAGAGTTTTCCTTCTCTGACAGGCCTTCACCTGTCTTGGTTATCTAGTGCTGGTGAAACAGTAAGGTCAGAGTGATGGCTTTAGTGAACAGAAAGTGAGTTCTCATTGTTTTAGCCAGGGAGCTCTGGTGGCCTAGAAGTAAAGAGTTACGCTGCCAACCAGCAGCTCCATAGGAGATAGGCAATTTACTGCCTCTGAAAATCTGCTGGAGGGTCAGCTATGGGTTAGTTCTGACTCAATGGTACACAACAACAGTAATAACATAGTTTAGACTACAAATTCCATTTAAGGTGCCAGATCTGTGTTGGTTCTGAAGGTCTTTCTCTCCTTTTGACATCATTGGGTCCAGAGTTCTTTGGAAATTCTCATGCATTTTATGCCAATCTTCCTCTGGATCTAGGAGGTTCTCAGCACAAGGACTCTGAGTCCAAAGGACAAGAGCTCTCAGCTCTTCTTTCTTGGTGTTCATAAGTCCTCTCTATTTCTCCTAGCACCACTCATTCCTCTTACGTAAGAGAAAAGTTGCGATTCAGGCAAGGGTGTCACTTGAGTAAGGCTGTGAACTTACGTACGGGAGTGATTTGAATAAGGGCAGTGTGTAACTCTTGTAAACAGAAGAATTAAGAGAGAGACTGCCTAACCCTGCCTCTGTTAAGTGGGCTGTATGGGGAACCACTAACTGAAGAAGATCAAAGACTATAGCTTTCAATACTGATTACATCATAACATCAAGTAAACAAAGTCCTCACCACTAGGCCAACAGACAAAATCATGGGGCTAAGAGACTATCTTTAGTGCCACCAAGACAAGATCACCAAAAGTGGAGAATGTCATTCTTGAACCTGGGCCCAGGAGCAATAGATCAACATCATATTAAGTTAGGCCAAGGCACATGGAGGTCTCCAGGGAATGCCAGGAGAACAGATGCTAAAGAAAGCAAGGACTGACAGAGAGGCCAGGCCTTCCCCTAGAGCTGACACCCTGAATGTGGTCTTCTAGCTTCCTAAACCACTGGCAAATTCATCTCTGTTAGAACTGTCCACTTGTGGCACTTCAGTTAATAGCAGCTTTGGAGAACTAAGACACACAGACTTTACTACGTTTACTTCCTGCAGCTCTCAGTATTCACAACAAGGAAATGGACTTGGGCCCCCCAGTTGAGGTCACTTTCAAAGATTAATCTTTTATAGGCCAGGTGCCAAAAGATGGACATCATGTACCACTCTGCGGGACATAAAGCAAAGCATATCTTATAAAGGTGACAGGCTGGCTAGCAGAGAATGCCACTCCCCTGACCCTTAAAACTAAGCATAAAGCCGCTTTTCTACGAAGATGGAGCCAAAAGTGAAGAAGGAGGCCCCTGGCCCTCCCAAAACTGAAGCCAAAGCAAAGGTGTTAAAGGCCAAGAAGGCGTCCTGAAGGGCGTCCACAGCCAGAAGAAGAAGAAGATCCACACGTCACCCACCTTCCGGTGGCCTAAGACGAGGAGGCTCCGAAGGCAGCCCAAATACCCCTGGAAGAGCGCCCCCGGGAGAAACAAGCTTGACCACCATGCCATGACCACTGAGTCAGCCGTGAAGAAGGTAGAAGATAATAACACACTTGTGTTCATTGTGGATGTCAAGGCCAATAAGCACCAAATTAAACAAGCTGTAAAGAAGCTCTAGGACATTGATGTGGCCAAGGTCAACACTTTGATCAGGCCTGATGGAGAGAAGAAGGCCTACGCTTGACTTGCTCCCGACTCTGATGCTTTGGATGTTGCCAACAAAATTGGGATCATCTAAACTGAGTCCAGCAGGCTAATTCAAAATACAAGCTTTTATTAAAAAAAATACAAAACAAAACAAAAAACCAAACAAACCTAAGCATAAAGCCAAAGAAGAAGGAATGAGTCGCTGACTGGAATTTAAAAACCTGTCACTTGTGCCATTTCTCACACAAGCACAATTCTTCCCCTCACAAAGCAGAAAAATCCTTTACAATTGAAACTTCATTTTTAAATACTTGTGAATCTCCCCTGAGCTGGATCTCATGCTCTGTTCAGCAAGGCACAAGATGATCCCTTTGAATTATCACTCAAAATGCTAACCAATGTATCCAGGAAAATAAAGATGGAATAAAGTCAAGCTGGCTAGGAACTAGGAAACGAAATTTTGTCCTTTGGCTAGAACTTCTCTCTCCTTGAGACTTTGTTGTGGATGGTGTAATTTCCAGAAGTCGGAATCACTGGGCTGAACTTTGCAGCCTGGCACTCTGAAAGCAAGTCATGGGGCACTGGGGGCCTCAGATCACTGCAGAGGGTCTCACTCCATTAGTCTTGTGGTTCTGCCCTCTGCTCCGAGAGTGGGCCAGATAAGCCACTTGCAGGAGGCGCCTGTAAATACTGACTGCACAGGAAGACTTACTCACTTCATCAACAAATATTTATTCAACACCTCCCATGTTCCAGAGCTGTTTGGAAAGAAGGGATTTCCAGCAAATCAGTTCTTTACATGGCAAATTATGAATTAAGCAAGTCATCCGGTGGCCTGCCTAGACTTTGGTGGTGGTGTGCACTGTCTGTCTCATCAGACCCAGCCCACTGGTGACTTTCCAGTGGGTTTTCAGAGGCTGTAAATCACACGAGAGGCGATTGCCCGTCTTTCTCCTGCAGAGCTGCTGGTGGATTCAAACTGTGTGCCTTTGAGTTGGCAGGAAATCTCCTTATCCCTGAGCCACCAGAGCTCCCTGCCAAGACCCTAGACTCCTGATTCTTTTTCACGAGTGACCTGCATCATTTACAGTGAGTTGCGTTTCAGTCAAGGTATCTGTGGATTGTTGATATTAGGTGCCGTCAAGCCGAGTAAAAGTCATCTCGACGCTATGAACAATAGACCTGAGCCCTGTCACATCTTGTGCCTTCTTCATCATCCATGACACCACTGAACCCATGGCTGCAGACCCTGTGTCAATCCGACTCATTGGGGGTCATCTTCTCTTCTGCTGAGCTTCCAAACATGATTTCCTTTTCCAAGGAATAGCTTCTCCAAATGTGTCCAAAGTATGAAGCTTTGTCAGCTCTGCCTCTAAGAAGCACTCTGGCTGTTCTCTTCCCTACACACATCTGAGCTTTTGACCGTCTATGGGATATCCGCTTGCTATTTGACGGCACTTAGCAACAACACCACAGAGAGAGCTTAGTTGGTCTAGTGGACAGAAAGTGATGCTACCAAGCCAAAGGTGGGTGATTTGAGTCTGCAACCCTCAGGCCTGGTTTTAATTGTTCTTGGTCAAACATTCTTCTAAGTGGTATA